CCCACTCTGACCAGCCTCTCCCAGGTCTACTGCCCCAGGCCCTGCTAGCCTCCTTCTCCTCTGTGCACCTCTGGGAAACTTTAGATCAGAGCTATAAGTGAGGCAGTGGTTCCTGTCTTTCGGTGCCTGGCTTATGTCAATGAGTGCAGTGTCCTGAGTTGTCCCAAATGAGAGCCCTCCATTGTTCCTGTCTAAGTAGTATTCTATGATTACTCAGGCTCCCCTGCTCCTGCTGAGGGCACAGGTAGTTGCTCTATCCTGCTGTGGTGAAGACTGGTGCAGTCAGCATGAGGTGGAGGTCGAGATTGCTCCTCCCAATGATGGAACCAGGTGGCAGAGCTGAGACCCTTGTCCATCACATCCTGGACCAGTGAGTACTAATGGTTTCTCAAGCACAACTCAGGTGCTCACCTTGCTGAGAGTCAGGGTCAGAACAAGCCCTGGGATGACACAGCAGAGAGGAGAGTCAGGGGCCTCAGGAGGACAGAGCTGCCTCCTCTGTGCACACTGCCCTACCTCCACTCTGATGTGGCCTGTGCATCTGACTAGTGCATCCACAGATGTGTGCAGGAGAGGACGCATCCTGAGCTGTCCACGCAGGCACCAGGAAAGTGTCCTTCAGAGAAAACCACTGAGCTGTCCATCAGCAGGATGGGTACTCATGAGTTCTGAGAGAGATCCATAAACTTCTGTGTGTATTTCATGGTAAAATGAAGGGAAGACAGAGATGGTTTCTGCCTCTTGTGTGAATGTAACACCCACAACACTGTGCAGTCCACCCCCTTATGTGGGGACTTCCAATCCTCAAGGCCACTGCAGACATTCAGTTACTGGGTGCTAACCTGCTGCTCCCAGGGACACACAGGAATGGTTCCTGCTGGCCTCTGGTCACATGTTCATTCCCTGAAATCACACCTTGGGTCATAGTGGTCCTTGTCAACTAGTAAGTTCCATGTAAACTCACAACCTGCTCCGTCACCTACCACCTCCTATGCAGCACTTGCAAGAAATTAGAGAAAATCCTGGCACATTCTTCCTGTCCCCAGAAGGTGCTCAACCCCCAGGCTCAGCCTTCACACCTGCCTCACCTCCTGGCATGTGTGAAACCAGCAGCTCCATCCAGGGAAGGTTTCTCATCTCCTCACCCTGAGCAGCCTGGCCGTGCACACCTCAGCCTCAACTCCAAGAGACACTGTTGGTGGCACTTCTGTATTTTCACTGAAGGAATCCAATAATCTGTTCAGTCCAGATGTCATCAGGGTCACATGCCCAGTTAGGGTCAGAGACCAGTTCCCAGAGCACCCTCAGGCTCAGATCAGCTGATTTCTCTGCCTCTTTCTGTAACATCAAACTTGTGATTCATTCACCCTGAGCTCATGGCCAACATGCAATACCAGAAAATCACTTTTACTCACCTACTTACCCTCTTAGAATGTCCCCACCTTCTAACACTGAGGAAGGACAAAGGGCACTATACCAACATCCCTGGATCTAATGTGAGTGCCAACTTGCCAACGTAGGAAAAATGTGGAATTCCTACACTAAATTGCCCCTGAAGGGCAGGAAGGAAGCTGAGAGAGGAGTGGGTGACCTCAGCTC